TAGAAAAGACCCTGTGCAAATCATTTCAACAAGTGTATTTTCTTGGAAGCAGTGAACAAATACGTGATCTGATTTTGGAAAAATCATCTGTTACTGATACGAAATGCATTTTCTGACAATCTCAATAAAATCCATAGATATAACTGATCATTGCATAATTATTCTTTACAAGACTAAGTGATGTCTCCTTGGATATTGACAGTTTTTTCATTTTATATTCTAATGAACAGTCTAATGAAAAGTGTGAAGTAGAATTTAAAATAATTTCTTAAAAAAAAAATCTATGAGGACAAGTTCCTACTAATATACCATTGGATTTGCCTTGAAATCCCCAATTCATATTTCTGTTACATTTTACAAAATTTTATGCTTTTCAGAGACAAAACTGTATTCTTATTCTAGAGCCAATTTCTATCTGCTTACAGTTTGTTTTAATCCATTCCTTCTGCAATTTTTTCCTTTTGCCTCCTCCCTCTTTTGTCCCTTTCTTTAATCTGTGTCTAACAGATATCATGCAAAAGTAGCGTTGTGAGAACTGACACCAGCTTTCTGAAAAAATCATTCCTTTGGCAACTGCCAAATTCTCAGTGCTCCCCAGGGCAAGCAGGTGCTTGCCAGAAACACACATCATATATTTTTTGTCACACACAAATTTTAATTCTTAGGATTTTTCTGTTACAATGTTGTGGAAATAGCCAGTAAACTGAACTCTAATTTATCTAGCCTGAGTATCTCAGGCCAGTTAACGCAGCTGTGATACTTGTCTTATTGCACTGGTGTCGTACACCATGTCACTTTGAAACCATTTAGAGATGTAAATAAGGTTTAAAAAGCTGTTGCACATTTTTAGTAGCCAAAATAGAGGCTACCTGATGGCTTGTATCTGCTCTAAATTGGCTTTGCCTATCAATTCAGAGACCATTGGTTGATTTGAGTGTCCATAAAATGGGCTTTATTAACCTGTCATGTCGTAACCCGGTCATTTCATTAAAAGCTTTAATCAGGTATCCTGAGTTATTGGTGGTTTCAGATTGTTTCTTCCTTCATTCACCTTCCAGTAACAGCTGCATTAAACTCTCAAGTGCAGCCATGAGTATTAATATTTTATATTCTTTTATACACAGCACAGAAGTTTCAACTTCTGTTACACTTGAAAATATGGCTTACTGATGGTCTTAAAATCCAAATTCTGCTTTCACTTGCATCAGTGATGTCACTAGTGGTGGGTGGTGTGCAGGGTTGATTCCAGGCTGTTCATGCCAGTTGTGCAGTCCCTTCCTTGAAGGTCCATGTAGAGCAGCTTGGGAGAGGACTGTCCAGCTTGGGGCACTGCTGTGCAGGGTCAGGGCACACTCCTCCTGCTCCCCGACCTGTGTGTCGGCCCCATGATGGGTGCGTGCCTGCTCCCCACCTGACTGGGCAGGGGCTGCATAAGATCATCTGCTGAGAGAAAGCGCTTAGGGCCAGTCTCTGGTACCTCTACAGCCTCTCTTCCCACAGGAGATGGGTTGCACAGCTCTGCTACACCAGGCAGGTAACAGTGGGGAGAAAGGCACATGTGAGAGGTTTGGGCAAGCAACGGGAGTGTAGTCAGAGCTGCAGCACCAGTCTCCTAAGGCACGTTTGCATTGCTTGTGTCCCTTCTGTGGAGCCAGCCTGTAGCTCCTATGTATTTAGGAAAGGAGCACTTTAGGGTCTTTTCACGTCCTGATCAGATTTTTTTAATGTGTCAGCGATGTTGAACACAGTAATTTCTCCATACCACCACAGCGTTTTAGTTTTCCTTTTTATAGAACTACCTGCAGTGTATATTGCTCTAATCTTTCCAAAAGACTTTGCAAAGATAGTAGAGGCACTCAGAGACAATCTCTGCAAGGCCAGTAAATTGGTCACCATCAAAGCACGGACAGACATGAAACAGGCAACTATAGTCTGCAGAGGGAGCCTTCCTCTCCTTCTGTTTGAAAGTACAGTGACCTGTGTGTATATACATGAAACAAACCACAGGAGTTTGAAAAGCCTCTGTCCTTTATTGAAGGATGCCACTGCAGGGAGTAAGGAGAAAACTGCAAGCAGGCCAAGATATTAGTCACTCAGTGTGGTATGTGAAGACCAGGGGAAAAAAAAAAAATGTGCTTGACCATGGAAAACAGTTCACCCTGATTATTTTTTTCTTCTCCTTGATATCAAAGGGCTCTTTCTTTTTTTTCAACTCATTATGACTGCAAGGTGCAAGGCTTTATTTCTCATTGAAATGGAAAGTTGAACTGAGGTGTCCACGGAGCTGTGGTATTTATATGAACCCAAAAGAAACTTGCAACTGGGAAAAGTCAAGATTCAAGTTCAGGATATCAAGACAAGTAATATGATTTGCCTTTTATTGTAGAAAATGGGAAATAATGATCATTGTTACCTTATTGCCATTTAAAATGCATATGCCAAAAGGGGTCACATCTATGTAAATTTTACAGTTTCCTTGAATGATTTACATGAAAAATACTCTCAGTTTGTTGTCTCTGTCCTTATTTAATTTAAGTCATGGGCACTGGCATTTTTGTGACAACAGAAGTCAAACTCAGACTTGGAAGTCCAGGCCTATGTCAAATGCCATGGAAAAACTGCTTGCACATAAAGGGAAGTGGTTAGCAGCATGCTCTGACACCTCAGCACTGCCTGTGGTGTAGGAGATCAGCAGTCCCTACACTTGCTGTGAGCATGGCTTCCTGTGAGGTGGGGACCGACACCCATTTCCAGGACACCAGGTCCTGGCTGCACAACAGGGGTGACTTGCGCAATGTTAGACATGCTTCCCCACAGGAGGAAACTCATCGAGGAGCTTTTCTCTTCCCTCTCACCAGGCTGAGGTATCTTGCCCAGAGGTCTTGGACTTGTCCCACAAGCGGCCTCTTCAGTGGTTGATTCATTTTCATGAGAGTAGAGGGAGCATGGAACAAGTAGACAGTCTTTGCCCAATGTAAAGTGTCATCCTTTTCCATGTCTTTCTCTTGGTAGGTGATGAAATACACTCCAAGGAAGACATGAGCATCCATGGACAGAGGTTTTGTGATGGGTGCTCAGTTGAGGATCTCTTCTTTGACCCAAGTTCTTTGTCCTGAAGAGCAGATGATATTACTTGGCTTTGTTGGCCTTTTTGAGCATTCGTGAATGGCCCTGAGGACTGCCTTCAAGTACAACAATATCCCAACCCTCCATCCGAACAGCAATCCACTTACAGACTGGTGGATAACTGACTAGAAATGGCTGCTGCAACTCAATGCTGAAAATCTGTGACTGTGCACATATTCCCTATGAAAGCTGATGCACATCCAGGGCTTTGCCAGGGTCCACAAGACGCTTAAATGACAACCTCAGAGCGCATCACCATGGCAGAGAACAGGCCACATGTGCCAGGCATGCTGGAGAGCCTTGTGAGGCATGTCTGCATGGTCAAGAGATGCCCCGAGCTGAGGTTGTGGTGGGAGTATTGGGAGCAACCTGAAACTGTTGCTGAAGCACATCAATGAAAGATTTTGAACTTGAGAGCACTGCTGGGGCAACTTTTAATCCCTGAGCTGGTAAGTCCCAGGTCACTCTGTCAGTCTGCTAAGCAATATGTTTTAGAAGGTTTGTCAGGGCTAAACTCCAACTGTCTATGGACAAACTTAGAAGGAGTTCTCTACAAAAATTCAGAAGGAGGTGGGCTGTGGCTAATGATTGGAAAAATCAGGCCATTTGGTTGCTTAAATGGGATCTGTGGGAGCTGCCATACACATGTTGCAGACTTTATGTTGGAGAGAGGGAGCAGCACTCCAGTGACTGGTACGAGAGCAAGATGGCTGGGGACAAGTCAAGCCTAGCACCCTTGCAAGGGTCTTCACTGAAGCAAGTGTGTGGATCACTGTCCTCACCATTAGCAGGAAGGTGAGAGGCTTCTGTTTTTCATCATAATGCAACTGATTCTTCCTTCTTCTTGCTGTAAAGCATTTTTGTCTCCTTTTATTCTCATCACATTGCATTTACTCCCCTCTCTCACGGTGAGGCTGTCATAGCAAACACAGGGAAAGTTTGACAGGAGAAATTAATCCACCTCAGGAGGGACAAAACAGGCCCGTGGACAGTGGAGGTTCCCAGTGAGGTTCTTTGCTTCCTTTGGCTGGGTGCCACCACCAAGGCTGATTTGCTGCCCAGGGTGGGAAGGCACAAGCTGGTCAGGGCACTGAGATGGGCACAGGAAATTCATGCAGTAACAGTGTATTGCTCATCAGGAAAACATTGCTGCTTCAGATTGATTAATACAGACTAAAATTTTTTAATTATGACTACAACCTGACTGGTAAGAGAGGCCATATCTGAAATACAATCATTGATACCTCAGTAAAGACTAAAAATACTCCAGACTGACTCACCTAAATCATGTGTAATGTCTTCTCAACAAGATCTCATTTTTCAACAGTGGGGGAAAATTCTACTAGACTTGGAGTATACTAGATTTCAGGGTGCTTAGCAGTCTAAAAATACAATTCAAATACCTTTAAAATTTTTTTTAAACCTGTACTGGAAATTGTCTGCCCTTCTTTTTAAATTAGCAGCTGTCCTGCTGGTAAATTAACTTCCTAGCTGATTTTTTTCTGCTATGTTATAGTCACATTCTCAGGTAGTGACATCTTCCCATTGTTTTTTACTGTGCCTTTTTTTTCTTTAATCTGTGTGAGATTTTTCCTCAATTTCATTTGAACTGAAACTCTGCTGGTCTTCAGTGAAGACAAAAAGACAAAAGTACTGCTATTTTAGCAACATATCAGTATGCACTATGTTCGTGGGTGTGCCTGTGAGCCTGTAGGTTATGTTTTAAAGGAAGTTGTCCTTTTGTCAGACACACGCTGTTCATTCAAGATTTCTGCACGTAGCAGTAATAAGGATATAGGGAAATCTGCTGTCTTGGGCTGGCCACAGATTCACAAGCTGTATTAATAGGTAGGATTAGTGAAGAAGAACAGGTCAGAAGGCTGTAAAGCTCCTGTCCCTTGAGATTTCCTTCTTTAGATCATTAGTCTCATTGAAGAGCTCCCTCGAATACAGGAAGCAGAAACTGAGGAAAAGGCTGGAACCATTTTATTTTGCTGAACACACTGAGGAAAGGGCAATTTCTGGGTCATAAGTTCCGCTGAAAATGTCTGTCCAGTTTTCTCCACAGACACCCTGGAGAAACAACAACGTCAGTTTTCTGGGCAAAGAGTCAGCCGTAACAGAGCAAGGAGAAACTATCATAGGTTTCTACCTACTGGCTTTAGGTATGTACTCGGATGTGAAAGGAAGCTCTTAAGTAGAGTTTGGTATAAAGTTCAAAGTGATTCATTTGGGTATTGTCCCTAATGGAACGAGGATCTTGTGCAGTTTTCTTTTGTTAGAAAGAGATTAATAATCAATGCAGAAATCTTGTGGGGAAAATATAGAAAAGCCTGTAAACTTTTAACTAATGTTCGCTATACTTACTATCTGGGAAGATAAAAAAGTACCTTTATCAGAAGAACATGATACTTCTGTGTCTTCTCATGTCTTGGTAGCACCAAATCAATGTTCTGTGATTCCCAGAGTTTTGACTGCTGGCAGTCAGTTGGCATACTACAAATACCTTCTGCAGAGACAGAAAATACGGTTCTGTAGTTTAAAACATTTTTTAACTATTTGTGCTTTTGTTTTAAATGTTTGATGCACAAAGAAATAAACTTCTTCAAACAGCATCTATGATAGGTCTAAGTACTAGAACGTTAGCCTGTGTTAGCAGTCATAATACTGTGTGTTTCAGTTCTGCTGCGAGACAGCTATTTTAAGTGTATAATAAGGATTTGAAAACGGTACCCAATATGAACTCACTTTGATCCCAGCACAATTTTGTTTTGTTTGTTTAAATATTGTGTTTGGGGCAGACTCATTGCAGGATACAAGGAAACTTTATGAAATTTCAAAGAATGCAGCTTTCCTAGGAAATCAAAATTTCCGATCGTAAAACCTCACAGGAAAATACAAGAAATTGTAACTTTTATTAAATCTGTTCTTCTAAACAGCATATAAAAAATGTTTCTGTTTTTATATGATTGCTTGAAACAGATTTTTTATTTTTCTGAGCTTATCACATATTGCAAGTAGCTTACTAGCCCTCCACTTATTCTTGAGAAGGGTCCATGGAAGTTACTATGTAAAATGCTGAGTATTTTAGTGTGTTTACATGAGACTTGCTCTTCTTTTTTATCAATAGGAAATAGGGAGGAAAAAGTTGTATTTAGAATAAAAACAGAGATTCTAGTAGAAAAATATATAGCTTCTATCTTAGGAATCTTCTATCTTAATTAGAAGAGTGGCCGTAAAGTAACTCAGATTTGTTCCAATTTATCCCCAATCTGTTCACATCTGCGTAACCCTTCATGAATGGCTGGGAAATGGCTGCACCATCAGCTAATGAAATAATCAGTTGCACTTAAGACTAGAAAGAACATCTTAGGTCAGCGAGGCCAGTCCCCTGCTGTGATAACACATAATCTCATTTACAAAGCTACCATGCTCCCTCATATAACTGGCTAGGGGTTTCTTGGTGTTGCTACCACTCTTCCAATTGACAGCATGTTCCTGATTTTGTTTCTCTGTTGGGTAGGAGTCTTTTCCGAATTCTTAGCTAAAGTGATCACACCAACTTTACCCTTTTTGTCACTCTTTTTAACGGAATTTTTTTTTTTTTCCTGCAATTAACATCCTACAGCCAGTCTGTGTTCCCGAAGATACAGTCATACCCTGTGGTCAGCCTTTGTATTCCTATATTAAGCAAGTGAGTGGGGTTTTGAGGTTTTTTTGTTTCACTGATTTAGGGGGTGTGTGTGGGTATTTCTAATTTATTTATCTTCTGTCATAATACCCTTTCCCCTGTCATTCCAGCCTATCATCCTAGCAGTCTTTTATGCTGTTTTTTGCAACCTGGACTCTTTTTTTTTTTTTTTTTTTTTTTTTTTTGCACTTCCCCAGCTCTACTGATCCATCTTAGTGTTGCCTCTGCATCACACTGGTAGTTTAAACTTCTTTCATCAGCTGACCCACAAAGGTGTTACCAACAAAGGTCCTAATGATGACCCCACATCTTATAGCAAATACTTTTTAAAGTACCCAGGTGCCTGAGCTTTTAGGTTCTATGTCTATTGGTTTTTAATTGCTCCACATCCTTCTGCAGGCTTACATGTTTGACATGTTATAGCTGCTATTCTTGAAACTTACCACCAGATTCAAAATCAAGTTGTGTTTCTTGCAGAGTATATATATAACCAGAAATAACACTATCATAGAATGTTTTGGGTCAAAAGGGACCTTAAAGATCATCTAGTTCCAACCCCCCTTGCCAGGGACAGGGACATCTTCCAGTAGACCAGGTTGCTCAAAGATCCGTCCAGCCTGTCCTTGAACACTTCCAGGGATGGGTCATCCACAACATCTTTGAGTAACCTGTTCCAGTGTTTCATCGCCCTCACAGTCAAGAATTTCTTCCTTGTATCTAACCTAAACCTACTCTCTGTCAGTGGGGTACATGTCCTTGTAAAAAAGTCTCTCTCCTGCTTTCCTGAAGGCCTCCTTTCAGTATGGGAAGACAGCTATAAGGTCTCCCCAGAGCCTTCTCTTCTCCAGGCTGAACGAGCCCAACTCTCTCAGCCTTGTCTTCATAGGAGAGGTGCTCCAGCCCCCTGATCATCTTTGTGGCCCTCCTCTGGGATTGCTCCAACAGATCTATGTTCTTCTTACACTGGGGGCCCCAGAGCTCCAAGTAGGGTCTCACAAGAGCAGAGTAGAGGAGAATCACCTCCCTTGACCTGCTGCCCACCCTTCTCTTGATGCAGCCCAGGATATGGTTGGTTTTCTGGACTGTAAACACACATTATAGGGTCATCTTGAGCATCTTGTCAACCAACACTCTCAAGTCCTTTCCTGCAGGGTTGATCTCAATCCATTCTCCACCCAGCTTGTATTTGGCTTGGGATTGCCTCATGACAGGTGTAAGACCTTGCACTTGGCCCTGTTGAACTTCATGAGGTTCTCACAGGCCCACGTCTCAAGCCTGTCCAGGTCCCTCTGGATGGCACATCCCTTCCCTCCAGTGTGTCAACCACACCACACAGCTTGATGATGTTGGCAAACCTGCTGAGGGTGCACTCAATCCCACTGTCCATGTCACCAATAAAAATGCTAAATGGCCCCAGTCTCAGCACCAAGTCCTGAGGAATGTCACTCATCCCTGCTCTCCACTTGGACATGGAGCCACTGACCACAACTCTTTGAGTGTGACCATCCAGCCAATTCCTTATCCACCAAGTGGTCCATCTGTCAAATACACATCTCTCCCATTTAGAGACAAAGGTGTTGTGCGGGACACTGTCAAATGCTTTGCACAAGTCCAGGTAGATGATATCAGTTGCTCTTCCCTTCTCCACCAACGCTGTAACCCCACTGTAGAAGGCCACCAGATTAGTCAGGCGTGATTTGCCCTTAGTGAAGCCATGTTGGCTGTCACCAATCACCTCCTTATTTTCCATGTGCCTTAGCATAATTTCCAGGAGGATCCACTCCATGATCTTGCCAGGCACAGAACTGAGACTGACTGGCCTGTAGTTCCCCGGGTCCTCCTTTTTCCCCTTTTTAAAATGGGTTATGTTTCCTCTTTTCCAATCAGTAGAAACTTCACCGTCCTGCCATGACTTCTCTAATATGATGGATAGTGGCCTTGCAACTTGATTCACCAGTTTCCTCAGGACCCACAGGTGCATCTCATCAGGTCACATAGACTTGTGCACCTTCAGGTTCCTTAGATGGTCTCAAACCTGATCTTCTCCTACAGTGGGCAGTTCTTCATTCTTCCAGTCCCAGCCTTTGGCTTCTGCAACTTGGGCGGTGTGGCTGGAGAAATTGCCAGTGAAGGCTGAGGCAAAAAATTCATGAGTACCTTAGCCTTGATCCTAAGTAACCAAGTCTCCTGTTTCCTTCCAGAAAGGGCCCACATTTTCCCTAGTCTTCCTTCTATCACTAGCGTACCTATAGAAGTTTTTTTGTTGCCCTTGACATCCCTGGACAGATTTATTTCTGCCAGGGCTTTGGCCTTTCTAACCTGATGCCTGGCTGCTCAGACAATTTCTCTGTATTCCAGGCTATCTGTCCTTGCTTCCACCCTCTGTAGGCTTCCTTTTTGGTTTTGAGTTTGTCCAGGAGCTCCTTGTTCATCCATTAATTAATTAAGCGTAGCATGGATCTGGTAAAATGCGATGGAGGTATGTATACCTTTTTGTAATAAGAACTTCTGAAAATAATCTGTTAGTAATACATAAATCAGAAAAGTTCTCATGTCTTTTCCTCCTTAAAGGTCTACTTCTGTACGTCTGCAAGCACCAACCATAAAAATTTACAGCTATTAGTTTTATGTACACCAATAACTTAGGCTATCTGGGGAGCAGTAATGTGGCAGAACGAAGTACTCTGTTACACAGACAACTTTTTGCCCTTTTGGCAGCAGAGGACAAAGGCCAGTCCACGCGTTACCTTCCCAAGCCTGCATTTCTTTAGGAGTCTTGAAAGACAATCTGCATTTGCAGAAGTCTATGGGTGCTTCCTTACACAAAGTTCCAAAGATGTTCATGTTTCATACTTGCAGTTTTTTGAAAACAGGTTCAGTGATTACACTTTTGTAACTGCTACATGTTTTCTTCTCCTTTAAATCTAAGTATGCCAGTGCAGCTTTTTGCAGATTGACATACATTTCTGATTGGTGTTAGCTCTTACCTAGAAGATGGGGTTCCTCTGAATCTCTTTATCTTCTCAGGATAAAGCCCAAAACCCCTATCTTTTGACAAGTCTTCCCACAGTCATACATCTTGACAGAGGACGTGAATATCCAGGAACCATGATCTAACATATTTTGCTGAGATGAGGCCTCTTTGATTGTCCTCTTCTGAAAATTCTCACATCACAGGTAGTGCAGATGTCATATGTGGCAGACAGGACACTGATGTATACTTCATACTTCATACACCGGACAGGCTGTATCAGATCCAGACAGAGGGGAAATCTGAGCTCAAAGCCATCTCTGGAATAGGTATCGCACACTAACACCACAAGCAAAACAGCATAAAAGTGCATGAGTGCATTTTGCAAAGGCAGATGGATTTTGAGATCACTGCACAGCTTCTTGGGATCTGAGTCACCATTCTATCACTCACCTTGCTAATGCTTATTCCAGAGGACCAGCAAAGTGTGGAAAAAATGCAGT